GAGATGTGATCTTATTGTATTTAGTGGGCTTGAAATGCTCACTGTCAGGATTTTCACATTTTTATTAGTACAATGATAATTGTGTTTGTGAAGGGAGAAGAAGCGAGTAGCAAGTGGTGCTTCTGTGGATGGGGAAATGTGGTTTTTGATAAGGCACTTCCCAAAACTTCTGTCCTGTGGAATTGAAGGAGTCTGGAGCTGAGCTGGGGGCCAGGGACTCTGTGGGAGGCTGGATCCCATCTGCAGCACAGCAGCACAACGTGAATATTTGTGAGAGGACTGGGGAGCAAGGGGCAGTAAACAGGAAGGAGCTCAGGAAATCAAGTGAATAACATCAAATGTGTCTTCAGCTGCCTCGTGCAATGACAGAAGATACAGGGGCTGTGGTGCTAAGCAGAGTTACATAAATGATTACACAACACAGCTGTGGCAGGAGCCTGGAGAGACTCTAAAGGGAATAAGCAGAAACACAGACAAGGGCAGGGAACTAACACTGAAGGCACCTCATCTTGCTGAGGTTTCTTTAATAAAAAATTAGAGACATGCTCACACAAAATTACAGCCAATCTCACTGCCAGGGGCAGACCATTCAGTTAAAATGACTTCTACAGTGGCTAAAAAATGAAAGAAGCCACTAGGTTAGGGGGTAACAATAAATCATGCAATTAAACACCTGATGTCACATTTTCCTGTGTGATGGCAGATGACAGTCCCCTCCCATGGAGCACACCATCATGGGCCACGTGTCTCACTCAGCCACACCTGGATGTGCACCCTGCACCTGGTCCTCATGCTCTGGGTTTCAGAGGGTTTTCTTCTGGCACCAGAACCTCTGTTACAGTCCTGTCCCCCAGCTGAGCTCAGTTTGGACTGTCAGAACACTAATGAGGCTGGCCAGCAAACTCCCTAAAATCTGAGCTTGGCAGCTTCCTGCCATCCTAACCCCCCTTTCTTGTTAAATGTGGTTCAATTTAAATTTCTAACAAATCCATTGTCGCTGGATCCAAAAGGCTGAAGCAGAGCTCTTGTTCTGCTGTACCTTTTACAGGTTATACCACACCCTGAATGTAATCCCTCAGCCTGCTTTTGAGATATGACCCAACATCTTAGCAGTGAGTTGAGAGCTCTTGGCTGCAGTGAGAGCTGCCAATATTCACACCATTTGAAAGAGAACCAGGAGAATTATCTCAGACAGAAAAAACAGATCTCTTGTGCTGACAGAATAAACACATTTGGGGTCTGACTTTGCCAACATCTCTCCTTTCTCTAACAACTACTGGAGTGGATCTGCTCACATTTAAGACACCCAACACTTCACGTTGCAAGAAGCCACTTCCAGCTGCTTATGTTTCAGCAACTTCATTTTTTTTAAAGTAAATTTTAATTTAAACTGAAACACCGAGCATTCCTATTTCTTCCTGAGAGCCTTACATTAGGTCTGCTGCTTTCTCTGTATGACAGAGAAATTAAGTGCCAGTGTGCCATCCCTCCACGTGCCAGAGGTCAAATTCCTCTGGTCCTCTCCTGCCAGAGGGGTACAGAGTGAAACAGAATGCCTGGAACCAACCTAGCAGCTGATGGATTTGTCATTTAGGAAGGGTAGAAGAATGGAAACCCTTTGTAGGAGCCTCCTTTCATGGTCAAGAGCTCAGCACAGGGAGGTGCAGTCCTTGGAGCTGGCCTTGAGCAGTCACTGACACCTGGACACGCTGCCATGGACTTCAACAACACCAAGGTGAGAACTCCCAACCCCTGGGTCTGTGGCACAGGGGAGGATGTGCCTGGTGCCCCATGATCTCTGTGTTTAGAGAGAGCTCTTGCAACTGAGCACCTAAAACCAAATCTACCCCTGAAATCCACTGGAAAAAAATATGTTGGTCCTTTGGACAAACAATAGACTGAAACAATGGAAATAATAAGATTAACAGGATGAACTTGCAGCATTCTGAGTGAGGATCCTTTGAAATCCGTTAGTGACAAAGGTGTTTCAGTGCACCAACATTCACCACGTTTCACTGTGTAATTCCATGAATTTCTGTCTCTCCTTAGTTTCACGAAGACAATTCAGTAGCCTCTGGCTTCTATATTATTTTTTTTCTCATCTAGTGACTAGCAGAGGCAGAAAAATAAACACACAACTAGGAGCTGTATTCACAGACAGGAAGTAACTTTAATTAAATATTGTGAAAGTTGAAAAGTTTTTACAGCTTGAATTTCTGCAAAAAAATTATAACAATCTCTACAGTAGTTAGTTTCTCTAACAATAGAACTGTACAGTGTGTGTGTCTATTCAAAAAGATTTAGATAAGAAGGTGAAAGGTTAGTAGTTTCAGAGATGACTTCATTTTAGCTGCATCCTAGTACAACTGTGAGGAAACAGGCATTACTTTATGCAATCCAGTCATTGTGAAGCTTCACCTTGTTCAAACTGAAATCTGAATGTTTCCACTTAAAGCCATATTCTGTAAACAGCTGCATCTTTTACTTCGTAAAAGACAAAGGGTGGTGCGGGGGAGATTTTTGATAAATTCCCATTCATCAGATCACAATAAATAGCTGCAAAAAAACCAGAATTATGCACATTGTCAAAGGCTCTTTGGACACTGGAGTAGAGATTACAAATGTGGCTAAAGTGGTGTCAGAACTGCTAGGACTGAGTGGAGCTCTACAAGAGTAATCGACGGTGTCACTGGACAAAATATGGCTTTAAATTTGATTACATTGTCGTGCTGTTGCTTATTATGTGAATTAGAATAATCGCTTGGAATACAGAGAAGCAATAAACTGATGTCTCTCACATTTTTTCCAGTTTTCTCTTCTTTTATTTTCTCACCATGAAAAAAAAAAAAAAATCCTGTTTTTCTTTCCCTTCCCCCCAAAGATCACACTGTGACATTCTAGTGAAAACCATTGCAAAATTCATACAGGAAGCATGCACAGTTGCAGCATCGTTGTAAATGATTTCTTGCTCGACTAGAAAAAAGTTATATTGTTTTAAGGTAACAAAACAGTTCTTTTGTGCTTTTCAATTCCTTTTTTTTTTTTTTTCTTAGAATGTTAGTGATGATTGACAGTTCTGGTGCACAGTACAATGTACAAGTGAAATGAATATGATTTGCATTGTTAAGGCATCCAATCTGCTGGTTTATATTTATGTGAAAGACAGAGAAATATACAAGCAGACTTAAGAAAGAAAGTATTTTCATTGAGTTCTATGAAGTTTCTCCCCATATTTAATGCACAAAAATGCGTCACTCCAAAGAGGAGAAATCCCATGCATATTAATAGAGTAAAACAGCATTAGTTTTTGTTAAGCCTCAAAAGCAAAGGATACATTTTTTTTTTTAAATCTACATAACTAAATGCTACAAGAATAATATGCTACTTTTTGCCATATATTGGAAAAAACTTCTTAACTTACAAATAATACAAAAATAGACAATGGCTTTTGGGTGGAAATTAAAAAAAAATGGAAGCATGGTTTTAAACAATACTAAAAAAAAAAAAAAAACAACCCTATAAATGAAATGTATTAAAATCACATTTAAACAGCTAATACAACGGTGAATGACCAAACAAATCAGCACTTTTCACATAGCAAACATACACAATAAAATAAACTTGTAGGGGACAAAAAGCAATGTACAAATTCCAAAGATAAATACATTATTTATATGGATATTTTACAAAATCCCCCGTAAAACAAACAAACAAAAAACAGAAACAAAAAGCTTTTTTTTTCTTTAATTAATTTGCAAGTATGTGCAAGCTAAAGGTAGTGAGCTCTTTTTGCAAAATATGCAGTAAAATTCTTTTTTTTTTTTTTTTTGTGATATTGAAAAACCGTCTTAAGACATTAAAATGTATAAATAGAACAACAACTTTGGCAAAAAATCACAAAAAATCTACAGTATTTATAACTACATACAAAACACAACAGCAAAGAAAAAATATCAGGTAATGCATCTTCAGAGCTTTGCTGCCTCTTTGACTAATAACTTTTAAGAACACTTCCCAGATAATGATAGCAAAATTTTTTTTTAATCGTAAAACAGAAGCGATGGTTTTGATTTGAAAGCCCCAAACTCATGTTTCACTACTCAAAAGCAGTTCCCTGTCGTGGATAGAGCGTGGTACAAACTGGGAGGGTCGACTGATACAGGAGGGATGCCAGTGGGAGCTTGGCCAGCAGAGATTTTTGGGAGGGGAGGGTGCAAACCCCACCTGGGTTTTGGTTTTATTTTTTTTTTTGTGCCCATCGTGCCCCAGCAGAACCAGCAGGGCAGGGGGACCCCAGGGATGGCCCAGCTTGGGGAAGGGGAGTGTTTGGAGGGGCTGAGATAGCACCCAAAAAAAGAGGGGGCCGTGCTCACCTCCTGCTGTAGGGCTGGCATTGCATCTACAGGCACTGGGTTTGCACTTCCAGAGGAAACATTTTTGATATTTCCACCCTTCCACCTGCTTTTTGCCGGGAAAAGTTGGACCTTAAGGTCCCCTTCTAGCCTGGTGTTCTGGGATGAACTTTTCCTTAAAGACAGAGGTTACTAATCCCACCCCTCACCCCACCCTCATAATCCAAAAATATCAGCTTTCTAGGGAGTGATTACTATTTAATCAGAACATTAAAAACGCATCATATCAGCAAGTCACCACTGGATAAGCAACATATATGAGCCGACCCTTAATTCAATGGCCATAATTCTTCTAGGAAAAACTAACTGGCACTTCTATTCTGTCCCATACAGACTTGTATGTAAATGACACCACTTTATTCTTCTTTACACAGCTTTTAAAAAAAAAAAAAATAAATTCATAAATTAAAAATGTGGAGTTCCGTCTCTAGTGTCCCTTGTGTAATTTTATGATTTATAAAAGACAAATGGTGTTGAGTTAAAGCAAGCCTTAAAAAAAAAAAAAAAAAAAGAAATCAGAAAAAAAAAAAAACCCCCCCCCCCCCCCCCCCCAAAAAAAAAAAAGTGGATTTTTATCAACATACAATAAATATATCTCCCAGGTATTTGGGATGGACAACTTGAATCAACACCTTGCAATTGTGGATTGTTAATTTCAGTATTTGCAAGGATGGTGATTTTTTTTTTGTTTAAAAATCTGCAGTTATTGTAAGATCCTTCTTTATTTCTTTTTTATTTTTAAAAAGGCCTGAGTAAAAAGTTCCACTCTGGGACTTGTATCAGATTCTCTCTGAAGCAGAATTCAACCTCTTCATTAATAAAATTCTTCAAGGCAATTCTTTCACATGGGGGGAACAATCATGCCAGATATAGCTGTTGGAAGGAAAGGGAGGGGGAAGAGAGAGAGGGAAAAAGTTAATTTTCTGCATTATTAAGCAACTTTTAATATCCTCAGAGCTTTAAACATTTACTAGCAATGTAGTCAGATGTACTTTGAGTTAAATTTATATATATCACTCATAAGAGACAACTATGTACACAAAAATCATGAGAAATTTCCTTCAGACTGGAAAACGATACAAATTGCAAGTTTTGCTGAATTACTGATTTTCTTGTTGAAAAAGTGTCCTTCCTCAATATCAGTATCAGACCCCAGCTTATTTTTCTGCTTTTAGTTTCAAAATCCCCAAGTGCTGAGGAAACTTCGACTGGACCCAGCCATTGCCACACATTCTGTTACTCTTTTAAAAGCAAAGCAGGTATTTGCACTAAATTAGGGAAAACAGCTGGAATCCCACTGGCATGGCCCTGGAGGAGTGTCCCTGCAGTGGCACTCTGGCATGGGTCACTCCCCTGTGCCAGTCCTCCCAAAGGTCAGTGTTCACCCCTGGGATTCATGGATGCATTTCCAGGTGCTCAGAAAAGGATTTAAACTCTCAAATCCAATTTTGAAATTGAAATATGTGCTTAACTCCTGGGTCAGCAGGCCAGCATCTTTCTTATTCCACTTGTAGCAGACACCACCAACTGCACCAAGTGAGTCACAGGTGAATGTTAATTTAGGATGTTTTCTCTTTTGCTGGCTAAGTTGAATCATCAGCATTTCTTTTTAATGCTTCCTATCTCATTTTCTATGAAACCACCACGTCTCTTAGCAGACATTTATGAGAAGTCAACAGGGAAGTTTGGCACATAAGTTGACCTCCAGCTCGATCTCTCCCTATTTACAGGGGACTCAGATCAGGCATCCCAAGGTCCCAGTGACACACTGTGAGCAGGCACATCATTACAGGGGGTAGTCATGGAAGTTTATGATGGAAACTGTAAAAACAACCCGTCTCTAAAATGCCAGTTGTACATTTATTTGCCAAAAGGTGGAAAACAGATTCCCATTCAGGTTGGCTGCACTCCCCATGTGCACATGATTTAAATGCTGCCTGCCACTCCAGACATCTGGACATGTAATTTCTTAAGGAAGGACTCAACCCCGTGACTGGTGCTGATTCATTGTGCTTTAATTACAGCTGCAATTATTTGATAAGAACAGAGCCAAAGTAAAAGACTCACAGATTTGGGGTTGGAAGGGGAGAGGAGGGAAATGTTTTCTCCACAAACACCACCATATGTGCAAGAATTACAAGTCTAATCAGCAAGGGGAGAGTAGCTCGAGTAAACTGCACTGATGAAATGAAATAAAATGAGGGGAGAAGGAGAGAATGCAAAACACATCCAACATGTTTGCAACAGGCCACCCTCAGAGGTGGCACACTGCAACAGCATTTCAATTATTGGAATTTATCGTGTGGAATCACTGTACTGATTGTGTCCCCCCCATAAGGGCTCCTCAAGGAGCTGAGAGTGAGGATAAAAGGAATAGAAGGGCGAGTTAAGTTGCTTTAAGTCCTATGGGAAGACACTTAGGTGAGAAGCATAGAGGACACTTTAGGACAAGGTGTTGCCTTCCTTTAGAAAAAGTATCTTTTCTTCAGAAAATGTCAAGATACTAATCCAACACTCAGTCTGAAAGATTCTTCAGAAGCAAATCAATTTCACCACTAATTGGTCAAGAACTGTGTCTCTTGGGACAGGACAGCTGTCTACCCTGGGCAGGAGCCCAAAAAAGGTGAGATAATTGCAATTCCTCCCTTCATGATTTAGACATTTCCCTGTGGTTACAAATCAGCCATGCACCTTTTGCTGTTGGAAACACATGGCACAGAGGCAGATCTTAGCTCCTTTTTTCAAAGCATTATTGTTTTTGAAGAGCTCTGAAATTCTGAATTAAATTACAAGGCAAATGATATCTTTTCTGCCTAAAAGCTTTGATATTTCCATTCTTTCCAAGTCTTCATTTAGATCACTCCACTTTTATTCCATAAGTGCTACATCTAGTCATGCAAATTCTCCCAGCTGTAGCCTGTTATTGATCCTGCAAACAGAGATATCAGTGGGAAACAGTGCAGGTATGAGATCACACCACCTCCAAAAAGGGAGGGCAGAGAATAGAAAAGCTCCCACCAATGGCCTTTATTTCTTCTATCATATACTAATTTGTATTTGCTGCCAGCAAATTACAGAAATAATGTATTTGGGGTTTTACAAAATTGCATGGCAAAGAGAACAACAGATAAGCCTGGCTGCTGTTTTAGTGAGTTCTGCTGATATCTAAGCTACATAAGGAAAGCTTGATTGCTTTCTGATGTATCCAGAAGCCCAAGAGAGATAAGACAGCCTCCTTATACAGGGTTGTTTATTTAAGCATTAAGGCACAACAGGCAGTGCATCTCTCAGTGATTATTACAAGCCTCAGGTGGTGTCAGGAGGCACGGGACCAAAGGCTGTGTGTCTTTAACTCACCAAGAAGTTCAGTGATGACCTAGAAATGAACCATCTCTTGGTGTCTCATTCCTATTATGAAAACTGAATTGCTAAACAAAAATTAAGGGAAACGCTCAGATCTGTGTGGTTTCTGGGCATGGCAGATGTGGAGGTGACATAATGAGGAGCAATCAGACAGCTCCAGTTGTGTCCAGTGCTCTCAGCTCATTCCATAATTGCTTTTCATAACTGAGTACATGGAATCTGAGAATTCTGTGTCTCGTGAAAGGAGAAACAGTGCCTGAAAAAGCTTTCTCCTGTTACTTGTTTCTTCTCTTCATCCACAACAAGAAGACAGGACAAAGTGAAGAGAAGAAAAAAAACATTAACGTGATCAAAAGCATTTTTTTTTTCAGATAGGAAATATTATTAGCTGTTGCTTTTAAAACTACTTAAAGTATGTCAGCACTGCCAATTCTTTTAAATGTTCAAAACCAAATCCCCTAAATGCTGTAGTTCACCTGAAAATTTTGTTCTGTCTTATTCCTGACACAGTTGGTATTTCTAACAGAGTCCTAACTGAAGGTACCCGAGTTCTGCTTATTGGTACCTAGTAAATTTACAGTTTCTGCACAGTTTTTCTGTGTGTGTGTGCACATTGAAGGATTCTTCCTCTCAGATCACCAGTCTAACATTCACTGAGGACAATGCTTTCCTTCAGGCACAATAGATCCAAGCCTTTATGAATGAATTCCTTCCATTCTGCTTGCGTATACTTTTTTTTTTTGGCTGTTAATGTGCTATCAGCATTTTCTCCTCAAGCCCAGTGTTCCTCTTTCCAGAGGCTGAGTGACAAGTGGAGTTTGTGCAACCATCCTGCCCTGCACACCTCCTTCTGGACCTGGCTTAAAAAAGGATGGATTTTATTCCCCACGCGGTGCCCTTTAGGATAACTTGCACAGGCTCATGGAAACAAATCTAAGCTCTGGAGAAAGCACAGTGCACACCATGAAATATTTCCCACCTCTGGCAGCTGGAGGCAGCTGGCTGCATCTGCTTAAGGAAACCCCTGGATCTAAGCAAGCATGAAAATGCCTCTCTCAGCACAGTGATGTGCAGTGAGGGAATCACACGGGGAGGTTTAGGCACAGTGTTGTAAAACAGACTCAGCCAAACAATGAGATGGGCAGTGCTGGGCTTTAAACACCCTCAGTTTGACAAGCTTTTGTCTGTCACTGCCTCGCCTGCAACAACCCTTCAAATGGATTTAGATACTAACGCTGGAGAACTTGTAATGAGAGGGGAAAGGATGCAGAAAAGGAGCAGCCCCTTGATACCAACAGTTCAATAGGCTTTCCAAAAGGCCCTGCACCATTTCTGGAATTAATTGGCACAGGAGTACATTAATCAGTGGAAACGAATGTTTGCCCTGGTGTGAGTCAAAGTGGAAAGCACTGCTGTTGGTTTGTAATGCATCTCCTGTTTATGAAAGGCAAGGCTTGTGCCAAGCTCTGCAGCAGTCTGTTTGCTCTCAGTAGGATTTCTGCACAAGTGTACTGTGACAAAGGACAAAAAGGAAGGGAAGATTGAGTGACGTACTTCAGGAGAAGGCCAGCCCCTGGAGAGACCCTGCAGTGGAGTACTTGCTAGAGTCCACAAAAGACTGGTCTGATAAAGGACGACAACAGGGAATAAGAGAGGAAAGAAAGAAAAAGGACGGTATTAGTAAGCTGAAATATTACTTGTGTTTATCAAAACAGTAGGTCCGTGCTTTAAAAGACACAGCCTCTCAATCGAGCAGGATTAGTTGGGTTAGAGACAGGGTGCTCGCCAAACACCTGCAGGGTACGAGGTGGGCTGGGGTGGAGTCCAGTTACTCTCTGCAGGAGGAAACTTTAGCACAGAGCCCACCAGGGATCCCCCATTGCCTCCTCTCCCCTGGGGCAGCTCGGAGTGGCTGGGAGCAGCCTGGGCTCCACCTGTTCCACCTACCTTGCAGGCTATTGCCATTGGTGCTGGTGCAGGTGGGAGGGGGGGAGGTCTGGGGTCTCACGACGGGCGCAAACGCACTCTTCTGTTTGACTGCTGAGACCATGTTGGCTGGTGAGAAGGAGAAGATCCCAGAGGAACTGCTACAGTTGGAGGGGAGGCTAGTGGAGGAGGCCATTGTTGGACTTGATGGCACAACTAGAGGGAAGAAAGACCCCCAAAGAGGCATTCCTTAGTACTCAATAATAACAGGTTGCAGGAAGAAGAGAATTCTTATTCTTGGACGCTATAAATTTTTTTAGGGCTGAACTGAGTGCTCAAAATGGAAATGTGCTACATAGGAAGCTCAGTCTTTAAACACAGATATCCCCAATCCATTATTTTACTATATAGTACAATAAATATCTTTGGTTCATGTCTTTACCATCAAGCTTTTAAACAAATTTCTTTTCATGAAAATAAAGCTAACTACCTTAATATTCAGAAGACACTGGCAGCTTCCCCTCTTATCCAACAACAGCAACAAAAAAAAAAAGACCAAAAGTAACATTCCATACTTCCATTCTTTGTCCTGTTTAGAAACTGCTTAGATACACAAGTGAGCTGTGAATAATTACATATTATAGAGTAAAATTCTGATCATCTGGGCTTTGAATTATTATTTTATTTGCATTTATGTAGATAAAAATCACCCTATTTAAGTTCTTATTTGAGAATCTGATATCATATTTGTTAACACTGAGGAAATCAATTAATGGAAATTAAATGTTCAAAGTTTCACAGTCTGACAGATACAATCTTAGTCTGAAGTCACTCTGTGTCTGGAAGTACTTGCTAAGGGAGAGCAATCAAAGCACCTAAATTGAATTGCTACTATACAGCAATTAGTTTATTGATTTAATTAAGAATGCCACCTTTTAATTTTCAGGTCATGATTGAAGCATTTTCTGATTCAATGGATTAGACATTAGCAGAATGACAGATCAACCAAGAAAACCTCCCAAAATATAAATAGAATAGAGAACCAGGGCTAGGAAGTGAAGCGCTATTCTAAAGAGGACTTCGTTCATAAATATGAAATAATACACTGCCACAGTATTTTAAATGCATTACTGGCATCTGCTTCCAAGAGGAGATGTCTCATCAATCATGTTATATTATGAATTCAGAGTGTGCAGATTCTGTGACAGTAAATCCAACTTAATAAGTAAGGTACTTTGTAACATTACATGTTACATTATTATTAGAGTACAAAAATAATCACTGGTTAGCAATTCCCAGGTTATAAGCACTAGTTATGTGGGTAAATAATTTGTTCTAAATTTGCAGCAGAGAAGAAGCTGTGGAGTTAATTATTTTATTCACAGCTCCTATCCCTTTTTTTATTCTGATGCAATTCAAAATAATTCATTGCTGCTGTTATACCATTAACTTCAGATTTGCTGTGTAAACCTTGGTACCTTCAGCAGTCGGTTTGTCCTGCCCATGCTACAGTCCCAGCCTATAAATCTATTTATATGTCCAGACCTCCTACCCCGATTCTGCTGTCAGCTTTCTACAGATGTCAGTGGAATCCTTTATGCCTCATGAGCAATGTCAGAGGAACTGGGCAGGTCCTGCTCATTTAATTTCTCATGTGACCAGGGACTACTGAGCTCAGCTGCAGAAGAGGTTCATAGGCCTTTACCAATAGAAATGGATTTATATTTAAACAGCTTACTAAACTTTTAATATCAAAATGCAGAAAGTTAGTCCTGCACATAAATATTTCCATGACTGGGACCGAAGACCATAAGCTCTTCACGCCATGGGATGTATGATTTGTATGACTCACATTTTTGTGGCATTCATTGTACTGACACTAAAATACAAAATCTAAGAGCCTTTGTCACACTTTACTGACTCAGTGAAGTCAAAGTAATGCTACTTAAAAAGCAAGTGGAATATAAACAATCAAGTTTAGGCCCAGTAATTCGTAATCTTTATAAAGGCTATGAACATATTATTTGCTCAGAAGTTGAGGACAGTGTTTCTTATTAGAGAATAAAGTACATTATGAAACTATCAGACTAAACCATGATAGACTATTCTTTGTAAGCTCTTTTAAGACTCCCAAATAAAAAGAATTAATAATAATAATTAATAAAAGTAATATGAAAAAAGAGAGGAGAATTTCTGGCAACACTATGGTCTTCAAAGTGCATCAAAGATCAGTGCCTTGGAAAGCAGAGAAAAGACCAAGTTCTATTTCAAATGCTCAAAATAGAAAATAAATATTGAGCCTCGAAGAAAATCCACCACCTCCTTCTAATGAAAATGTGTAGAACACAGAAAAGACACGAAATACTCACTGGCATAGGGAGAATTGGCAGCAGATCCGTTCAGGAAGGTTGGAGAACCGCCTAAATTTGACATTCCAGCATTCCCATAGCCATTCATGCTTGTTGTGACAGAGTTGTAGTTTGTCTGCTGCGGGGTGGTGCTTGGCACGTAGCCATGAGGTGACACACTGCTGGAGTTGCGAGTGAAACCTTGTGTGGGGAGGGAACACAGGCAGAAATTGGGATTAGCCCCACAACAGCTTCCTACACAAACCAAGGGGGAGCTCAGGGAGGACAGAGAGGGACAGGGCTGACCCCCAGCACCACCAGGTCCCCAGACTGGGACCCCTCCCTGCCCAGGCTGCTGCTGGAGGGGGGAGGCTGGAGCCTGCAGAGCTCCCCTGGCAACCCAAGGATGCCCTGGAGCAAAGATCAGCACAGGGTGTTGGAGGAACACTCGCTCTGAAAGGGCTGCTTGTAGGAAATGGAGTAAACATGACCTACATTTCCAGAGTGAGGGGTCCAGAGCCACTCAAGGTATGTTAAAAGATTGTTGTTAACTCTTTTCTGGTGTCACTGTCATTTAGCACACCTCAGATGCTCACTGCACGCTTCAGGAAATGTAGTGTATTTCTCCAGCTTGTGGGATATCCTTTGTCTTTTTTGCCTTGGTCTCATCATTATGTTGGTAGGAAATGAGCATCAAATTCGACAGCAAGTTAAAATTTGAATCTCTACCTAATTCTGGAAATGACATTTTGGGAAACTCATATCCAAATATTCATATGGAAAGATTTGTTTCCAGAAGCACAGAAATACAAAATATGCATTTTCACTCCTAGAAGAAAAGTTGCCGATTTTTCTTCCTAATGCATAGCATAAAATATTTCAATCTAAAAATAATTTTGTATTTTTTTAGTGTAATGCAAATTTTTTTTTTTCTCCTCTTCTAGAAACAGCCTCATCCTAGCACTTTCTCATTCCAATGTATTTTGAAGTTGGATAATATAGAGAGCTGAGCAAAGGAGAGGGCAAAATGTTCTCCACCTATTTTTTATTTTTAACTGTGGGAATTAAACCCATACTGATTTTATACAAAGTGAAAAACACTTTATTTTAAAAATTGAACAAGCTCTGAAAATGTTTTTCAAATTTTTAAATATTTGTATTCTTCGCAAGTTGTAAAATTTATGAAAGTCTCAAACTCTGAATAAAACACAGTTCCAAATACTCTATCTCTTGCAAAACAAACCCAAATTAAACAGATAAACATTCAAGGGATAACTTCATGTTATAAAGAAGTGCTGCACAAGGCCCAGACTGAGAGATCATCCATGCTCAGGAAAATATATAAGCAAGTACTTAATGTTAAGTACGTGCTGAAGCCGATTAAAATTAGTGGGATTTGAACACAAACACAAGTGTTACCCTGGGCAGAATAAAAAGCTATTTAGGGACATGCAGAAGTGCTTTTCCTGAGTTAGGGCAGCCCCATCCTGCATCATTCCAAGGCTCTGGGATGGGCTGCCCAGCCCTGCTGCCAGTCCTGAGCCATCCCTCTGCCACTGCCCTGACTCCTATCAGAAAAGGTCCATAGAGAGAGGAAGATGAGTCTTCTCCTGACCCTGGTTGGTGGCTTGGGAGGCTTCAGAGACATTGACAGCGAGCTGGCCACTGAAGGAATTCACTCCCATCATTCCCGCGTGGACAGAGGTGTTGGCGAGGGCGGGGAGCTGGTTGTGGTTGCGGGGGACGCTGTACAGCGCTTCGGCGATGTCTGCAGCTCTTTTCAGGATTATTTCCTACAGGATAAGGGGAAAAAAAACATAGAAGAGTTACCAGAGTCTGACAAGCCTTTCCTTGCAGGCTCAAGTGAAACAGTTCCCTGTTGAAAGGCTAAAAGGAGATGCTTTTCTTTTTTTCTGGCTGACAGGGAGCTCATGCTTATAGGAAATTCCTGGTAAATCCTGACATCTGTAGTAAGAGAGTTGGAAGTCTTGGTCCCAGTGGCCACACTTTGTATAAAAAGACCAACTGGCAGGATGGGGCTGGAGCCTGGACTTGCTCCACCTTCGAACTCTCTTTAGGGGAAGAGGGAAAAGTCACTGGTGGCAAGACATAATGCACAACATTGCTCATGTTATATGGGATCTGCAAGGAGGCAGATGCCTCCATGGTGATTTTACAAACACTAAATTCACACCCTTTAATAAAGAAAACAAGCAAACTAAACCCCACTCCAGATATGGCATCACCCTCTACATTTATTCTTGTCTCCCATTGTAGCATCATATCCCTTTAGCCCCTGACCTATCTATACATCTAAGAAATAGCCATGATATAGAATTGCTGAAGTAGAATGCATTTACCTGGTTATTATGTGGCATACCATAGAGTGCTTCTACTAAATCAGCAGCCCTCTTAAGTATTACTTCCTGTCAATAGAAAAACAGAAGCATTCTGCTGAGTTCAATAAACTCCTTGTGGGGAAAACAAATATTAGAATCTTTTATCTCTTCTATTAGGTACATCGTGTTTTGTCGTGGTTTTTTTCTTCCTTTTTTCCTCCCACCAGGTAAACCTTAATTGTAACAACTCTCAGCAACCACTGAATGGTGTTAAATCACTGGTTCATCCTATTCACACACACGCTTAATCAAGTCAAAAGGTGAGAATCATTGGTGCTGCAAAATAAAATACATCACTCAATTGTCTCTACCATCTGCACTATAAACCACTCATGGGTTTATTGCAGAATACAATCCCGAGGTCATTTACTAGATTACTGCAATCAATGTCATTCAGAGAATGTTATGAATCCCTTCAATGTGTTTATTTTATCCTTAATTGCATGCTGCAGGAATTGTGACCTTACCCAGCAGGCCACATTCAGAAGGTACCCAATCAGTCCTGTGCTACTGGTAATGTCACCCTCTGGCTTCTCCAGTTTGTGTCCTGGTCCAAGGGGTCAGGGCAGGATCCACATGCATGGAATGATGCCCAAGAGGAAAACACATGCAGTGTGAGAGAGAACAGCCCAGGACCGTGCAGTGTTTCCTGGAAAAATTCCCTGCATGGACAGCAGACTTTAAAACAGTCTGAGATTCAGTTCTCCATTTTGGGGAATTTTTTTCCCTCCATTTTCTTATTTATTACTTTTCATTTAATATTTCTTAGGGTATTTTCTACCGGTATTCAAGTAACAATTGCATTTGCTGTGTTCTTATATTTTACAGCATCCTGATGATAATCCTGATAGAAAATATAAACATGCATTGCAGAATTAACCCAGAAGAATGTTTTTTCCTTATCATTTCATGGCATCTTTCAAAGCAGATTCCCAAATGCCCGATCAAGACCGGTCAAGAACATCCTTTGAGTAAAACAATGCATTTTTGTAGTTCTCTGCTCCTAAGCTATTCACCATGGCATATTTCTGCAAGTAGCTTACAAAAATAGTACCAGTTCTAAGCATTTTACAGTTTTCTACAAAGTTAAACTTTTAAACTTAAAATATTTTACACAATAGCCATATTTTATACCAAAAAGAAACAGTAATGCTCAATTTTCATATACTGTAGACTCTGATCAGAAAATAGAGATATAATTGCGTTCATTTTGCTGTCACCATAACCTCTTCAAAAATCCTTGAACAACTCTTCAAATGACAAGCTTTTAGATGCATATTAGCATTTTTTTCAATTTTAAATTCTCTATAATATAAGATAAAATAGTTGTCATACTGCAGTAACTACTTATGACATATATAATGTCCTAAATTCAAAAATGAGATGGAGGATTTTTGTTCTCCCAGTAAACATTTAGGTTTGCCTTCTGCTGCACACACCCCAGTCTCAGAACACACATTTAAATTATTTTCCACATATGAAGTGAGATGTAATACATAATTGATGGATTTTTAAATCACTACATTTGAAACAGATTCTGAGGAGTTAAGTTGCTACAGCCTTTTTCTGTTGGTGGGTTTTGTTTGTTTGCTTGATTTTTAAGATTTGGGTTGGTTTTCTGCTGCAATTGTTGGTTTGGGGGTTTTTTTTTTTTTTATTTTTTGACCACAGCAGTGAGCAGTATAATCACAGACAGACACAAACAGCATCCAGATACAAACAATCCTCGTTCATCACAACACTGAGGTGCTCTTTTTGCCTCACACTGAAGATACGAGCTACAGAAGAACAGAGATATTACTGAAAAAAATATTCTCTTTTGCAGTCCATGATTTTAAATGGAAAATTACTGCACAGGTGTTTGACTTCGCAAACCAGGATTTATTTCACTTCAGTAGGAATTGTTTGCAGTATATATTTCACTGATGGAAAATTAGAATGTGATACAGAGCCTACAAACTGCTTTGGTATATTGTTAACCTAAGCTGTCATTATGCCAAATTACTAAAAAAAAGAAAGTTTAAATAGTCATTTCTGCTCTACCTGACTAATCATAGTTATTTATATAATGCTGAGCTAAAAACCTTAGAGTGCATCTAAAAAGAGATTGAAAACCGTGTTAAAAAATGAGGTAATTACATAGAATCTTACAGCTGCTCTCCCTCATATCAAATATATTTCAGTTCTTAAACACTGGAAGTTCTTTGATGCCATATCATATTGCATGTAAATAAAACTAATTGTCATGATGGTTTATTGAAACATTCTTGACAAGCAGCATTCAATTTTCTTAGCTAGTCAATGGTTCTATTTTTTTTCCAACATTTTCAGAGTCTATAAATTCGAGTTTCATACTTTCTCTAACAATATTTTCACACAAGAAAAGCATTTCTTGTTTATGACACTTTCAGATCATACAAAGTAGATGTTACAGAAAAACCCTCCTGTGTCAAACAGTGGTAGCTCCTATTCCAGAGCTGACGGTACTTCTTACAGACACAAACCAGCTTTAAAAATACACAATAAAATGCTGCTAAAGACAGGCTCGAGATATTAACTTCTTGTTTTCTGAGTGCATCTCAAAACCTTTTGCAGCTCTGCCTAAATTACAACAGAAGCTGCTCCACATACAAAGGAGCCCCCGAAGTCCTCTATGAGTTAGAGCAGCAGACCTTGCAAGGTGCTTGGATTGCGGTGACCAGAAAATTGTTCTCACCTCCGTGTCATTACGCTCACAGTGAAGCAGCCCCCGAGCATGTTTGTGTTCGGGATCTAATATATTGCCTTTCAATCAGAGCTGAGAGCCACTGAACACATAGACAGAACATGACGAGCAGGTCAGGAAAGCAATAAAGATTTTACAGAGCTGTCCAAGGTGCTAAATTTACTCAATAATGGGTTTGGCACCATAGTGTTAACCTCTCATTTACTACCAGTTTGAGGGACTAAATTGAAGTAGCTGACTTCATTTACCTTGAAATGTATATTTTATGACATTATGTAAGTAGATTGAAAGGGCACTGCAGTTTTAACAATTTAAAGGCTAGAGCATGTTTAAGATGAAGCTTGAATATTTATCGTATATTGCACTTAAACTATATTGTATATTAAAATGCATTGATTAAATTTGTAAAAGGTATTATAAAAAAGGACAGCTAGTATAAGAGATCTATGTCTTTTAAAATCCAATTGATACTACTGCACATTACCACTGGGATGGTAACAGATAAACAGATAGAGGGGTGGACAGAGCAGCAGACAGAGCAAAAAGTGAGTGAAACTCACGTTCTATAAAAAGAAATCTCTGCATAAGCTCAAGGTCTGTTATTCCAGATATTCTTTTGTTCACAGAAATTTTTCTTTGCCTTCATCTCCGAAGCTTACATTTTCATAGCAGTAAGTGGGCATCATGCAAGGCCCTTCCAATTGAATATGCAAGTGGAAATATTTCCTGAGAGAGACAGAGTTTGACTAAAGCTAATATCTAATTTATGGGGGCATTTGTCAAGGAAGACCCACTTTTCTATTAATGTTAAAAGTCTGACAGCTTTTGGTTTAGAATAAAGGACTTAGCAGCATTTAGCTAGACCTAAGTGAGGATCTTCTTTTTTTGCATTTTGTTTCAAATGAGAATAATTTTATTTCTCTAAAAATCACAAATGAGCAAATATTGAGAAAAGGAAAAATTACTTTACTAACTAAATATGATACATCAGAACTCTGCACTCTATGAAGCTGCACACCAAAAATCATTAGTCCATTTTTACTCCAAACTAAAGCAGATTTTCTACTGAGGGATTTTTACTTCTTTAATTTTTGAAACAGGCTCACAATTAAATATTTTGATCAAATTTTCCTCCTGAAGATAATAAGGAGTGTCTACATATCAGAAGAGAGGCTGAGTAGCAAAGTCTATTGCAACTTTGCATATCTCAATACTACTGTAGAAAAAATATTATAAATCATACTGGAATAAATGTGCTTTTGAAGCACAAAGACTGAAATTCAAACTGAATCCACTTCTGACTGAATGTACCTCTAGCACTACAGCACCTCTCCATGTTTTGTTGGAGGCCTGCATTCCCTTCAGAAGGATTTCATTAAGAACATGAAACTTGCATTTCAAGTTTTATCATGATGAAAACACTTTGTGTCAAGATTTATCATGACAAACACATTTTTTGTTAGCGTTAAAAAAGATGGGATATTTCTTCTTGCAACATCTGCTTATTTTTTATTCAGAAACTCGTGAAAAAAGACCCACTCTATATCCCAAAAGGGCTGTGAGTCTGGTGAGATAAAGGGTATCTAGAGTTACACTGAGTTGTTCAGCTCAAGTAACTAAATTAGATAATGTTCAAGGTACTCGTTAAACCAAAATGAATTTTGTCAAGAAGAAGCTGACCACAATATACAACACTCCTCAGCCACATATTGTATTATTGAGACCACCAAAGGATTTATGAACTCGTGGAGGGCGTGGGGGGGAAGCTGTTCCAGCATCCTCTGAGGCATTTATCTTATGTGTTGTCTGGATATCATATCACCTTCTAATGCTCTTTAGCATTGTAATACAAGAGAGAGCTCATTCATCTTCTGAGAGGGTACTTAGGGATGATGATGTCATTCATACTTCCTTGACTCTCATGTCTGACCTCCTGCCTCTGCCTTCTAACTTCCTACTCTCATGGCTACTTGCAAGAAAAAAAACTCCTCTGCAGACTCAAAATGCTCAGCATCAGACTCCAGTTCACTTCTTCACCTTGGAAAGGTCACATTCTGAAATTTCTAGCCAAAATCAACAGTAATCTGTGTTCAAATTTTCCCTTTGGTTTTCAGTTGGTGAAAGTAAGAAGTAGCAGTAAGTTTTAAACTTAAACTTGAAATTTGTGTATGCATTATATTTTTAAAGATAAAATTGTGAACACCTCTTTCAAATGTAAAGAGAGACATTTACAAGAATGCCAAAGATCTAAAATGCCACACATTGAGCTTGGTACACAAGAGCTACAGCCTGTCCAGAGCCT